CCCCCCCCCCCCCCCCCCCCCCCCCCCATCATCATCATCACCCTCGGCCGCTGTCAGCCGTTTCCTTTGAGTCCAGTTCTGGTGTGTGTTGCACGTCGGGGCCCCCCTGTGGCGTGTAAACGGTTTCGTGTAGCGTCTTGTAAGTAAAACAAAGAAGAAATAAGGGGGAGATGAAGGGAGGAAGAAGAGGAGAAGGAGGGGAGGAATTTTCTTCTTCTTCTTTTGTTTTAGAACAGAAAAGCGTCTTCTGGCCTGGCATGCTGCTTTCTGTCGCTGCAGCTCCTGCTTCTGCCAATGAGCAGGACGGAGGGGGAGAGGGGGGGGGGGGGGGGGGGCGGGGGGGGGGGGGGGGGGGAGGGAGAATTATTTAAGACACCTCTCAAAGTAGGTGGCACCGACGTAGCCGCCCCTCAGAGAGCGGTGGACGTTCTGCTCAAAGAGCCGCCGGTTCGTCTGCAGGACTTCTGCTGCCTCCTTGTTCAACGGGTCCTCGGGGTTCGGCTCCTGGGGGGGGGGGGATTAGTTACTGTATGTGGGTTTTTATCAGTTTCTTTACTCCATTGCACTCTACCATATTTCTTTACTGCGTTTCTCTATTGTGTTTCTTTCTTTACTACATGTCTCTACTGTATTTCTTTACTAGCGTGTCTGATATTACAGTTTGTCGACAGTAACTCCAGATGAACTGAGTTTTTTCATAAAAACAAACATGAGTTAAACGTGTGAAAATAACACTCACTAGAAATAGATACTGTAGACCGTAGATGATGGAGTTTATTGTCAACACAGGCTTCCAGTCCTCTCTGTGGACAACAAGAACAAAACAAATTTAAGGTGGACTTAAGGTGGACAGATGTCCAACCAGAGACCTTAAAAGGTACAGACCTTAAGATATTTAGGCAGACGTTTCCCTCCAGGTCGATGTTGGGGTGGTACACCATGGTCTCACACTTCACCTTGGGGGGGTCGTGGGGGTAACCCTGTCCTACCTGAGACAGAGATTTCATCAGTATCTTAGACTAGACACTTTAATAACATTAAGATTGATTATGACACGGACAAAAAATGTAATTTAGAGGAGAGAGAGAGAGGCAGACAGAGAGAGGCAGACAGAGAGAGAGAGACATATGTGTCTCACCTTAAAGCTGAAGACAAACTTTCCTCCTTTGTAAAAGCCCTGAGAGACAAACAAACATTAAGTCCAGACATTTGATCTCTTCTAAGATGAAGATAATGGAGTCCACACACACACACACACACACACACACACACACACACACACACACACACACACACACACACACACACACACACACACAC